GTTTAATGCGGAATAGCATAGGACCCATCAAAAAATCCGCTTTAAGCAGTTTTCCGGTTTATTGAATAAAACGGAAAAATTCTGGATTATAAATTCGTATTAGTTTTTCATATTGAAAAATTAGTTTACAACATTAATAATTTTTATTTTTTAAATTAGAGAAATAGAGACTAATAATATAGGTACTTAATTTATTATTTTACTTTATATAACTCATTTTAGATTAACTATATTACTATAGACTTATTTTCTTACAAAATTATTAACAATTTATACATATTAGGTATATAAGTATAAAATGTTGGTTGTCAATTAAATTTAAACATTTAGCGTTTCTAAAAATCATGTAGAGTTTTTATTATCTACTGTTGCAATTTTTTCAATATTAAATGTATTTGAATGCAGGACATCGTTTACTAGGTACAAGAAAACTGTTCAGTGTAAGACTGTTGGTGCATAACTGTTTCACAGCTATATACATTATAGGTACATATGGGATAAGTTTATCTCAGATACGATAACCAAAAAATACAAATTACTTAACTAATATAATATGTAGTGTAGTTTTATCTAAGTTATCGTTTTACAATTTGCCTACATATTCATATCAACGTAACACGACGCGTGTCATATTTCCGGCTTATGCAAGGTTTTTACTTGCATTAGACCTACAAAACCGTTCCGTTTCCGCGTTAGGAAGGTTCCGTTTTATTCAGGGTTCGCATTACACAGTTTTCACTGTATAAGCAAAAACGCAGCGCATAAACGATTTAATCGTCGTGTATCCAGTACCCACGCAATACTGCACATATTATGTATGGGTACACACCACAAACACATTATAGACAAGCTCGTTTAATGCAATACATATGTATATCGTACATATTATACGCGCGTATGAGATCTGCAGACATACATGTTACACAGGTACATCGTACATATTATATACCTAGGTATATCGCGGTATACACCTATGTATTATTTACAGCCGAGGGTGCACGGGTATATCCGGGTGAGTTTAATGTGCACAACACGGTCACGAGGTCAACGCAACAACGTCGTCGTGGTCAGTTTTCCCGTTCCGGTGTAGACACGAATAATATCTATTACTGATTTTTTTTCTCTCCTCAGCCAAGTCGATAGATTTTTCATAATATGTCTATATATATTTATATTCATATTATATTGTATTACACGAACGAGCCGGATAAATATTTATTATTTTACACTTTTACGAAGTACGCATAGAAAGTTATGTACCTGTATTTACGAATTTCAAGACGAAGTATATGAACGGTTGTATGGGTTACGATTATATGAAGTACCGTGTATACGGTATACCGGATAATTTGATTAACAGTTTAAAAGTATAAACGTTAAACTCTCGTCGTCTTGAACATTATAAACTTTATATAATTATATACTAAATCAGGATATTTTTATTTTTTATTGAAAATTTTAATGCTTAAAATATAAATCAGTAGATAGTAGATACACATACTGACATACTTAGGTATTAACTGCCGAGTAGAATGACAGGACCGCATAGCCACAGGAGTATCCTGTTGACATTTCAAATAAAAATTAAGATTTTTGAAATCCTAAAATGCTATTGAATGCAATGTACGCCGTTCCTGTGTTCATACACAGCTGATAGTTGTTTTGAAATTCGCAAATCACTCCTATCTCTGTCAAATCAAAATTACACGAATTGGCCCCAAAATGCGTCTTTTCAAATCTTTTCCAGCCTGTTCTTGTAATGTTGGTGCACTATACAAAGGATTATAGGAATTATTGCAAGTGATCAAATGACCCATGTTCGTTGCGAGGTAATTCGAGAACAAAATTTATTTTAATTACATTATTTTTAGGACGACGCCGTAAGTGGTAATTAGTATCTTAACGATGACCAGTTTATAACTGAAAAAATATTTCTAGAATGGCCCGTTTCACATTTATGATTAAGCACATTTCTAGCCATACATTTAAACGGATGCGCGGAAAAAATATGATTTAAAATAATACGAGAAAAAAGAAGATATCGCATAATGGTACCATTATAATAATGTATGAACACATATTATGTATATTGACCTAGATATATAATCCATAATCAATTCACATACACATCATTGTAGGTATAGAAATAAAATGTCGATTTGAATTATTTGATGCAAGAGCGTCCGCAAGGGGGGGGGGGGGGGAGGGCGTTCCCCCCCCCCCCCCCCCCGAGATTTATATAGTTATTGTAATTTAATAATTTATTAGTAATTAATAATTGTTATTATAACATAAACACATAGGTATTAAGATTTTATAATGATATAATGATGATTATTTTTTTAGTCAAGTATATTAGAATGGATGTCCTAGAGGTAATAAAGGTATATTAAAATATCTTAGCCTTATACTAATTTGGCTTTTGAATTTTAATCTTGCCCTGGATGGGATTTCATTCTGCGGGCGCGCTTGATTTGATGTACCTATTAAAATTATGGACTAATAAGTGGCCGGGGATAGATAAATACTCTATCATTAGTCATAGGTTTATAAATTGTAGTTAAACTTTCCCGTACATTCAATGATGGATAAATAATAAATTACAATACCTGAAAAATGTTTGCGAATGGTTTAAATAATGTAACCTAACCTAACCTGACACGGATTACTTAAAGCGATAAATTTATATTTTAAACTTAAATATGGTTTTACATAAAACAATAAAGGTTACAGGTATTATATTTAGGTATATATAAGTGACATTCATCATCAAATATTTAAACACCTATGTTCGTAATACATAAGTATATGCGTAACTTAACGCTTAGTTGTATTTTATTGGTATTATATTATGTGTTATATGCATTATTTTAAATACATGGAAAATGGGTTTGGATGATTGATTTCAACTTAAGTGATGTCTCTACATAATTTGTGGAGTTCAATTTTTCATGTTTTTATAATTATTTTTTTGTTTTATTTACTTAAAAACCAATGGATGGTGCTACTGAAGTTGTTAAACGAAAAAAAATACTTTGGCATGAAAACCACATGTTTACACCAAACTTTTCTGATTGGTCTTCATATGCAAATATAAAAAAAAAAATACAGCCAATTCAGGTGTAGGTACTGAGTGATTAAAAACCAATGAATAGAAACTATCTCGATAGTATATATCAATCCTAAAATACATTATTTAAATAACAAAACTTTAATCACGGTTAAAAATAATCGAGATTTGTAAGTAGAAATTAAATTTATTAACTTTCACACGATTATATTATACTGTTCTGGGCACGGATCGAAAACGCTGTAATTACTTAATTATATTTTTTTTTTAGATAAAAATCCAAACAATTTTCATTTTCAGAAAAAAATTCATAAGAAATCTTCTACTACCTATATTTTCAAACCTTAAGCGTGTAAATTAAAAATCAGTTTGAATTTTTATCTATAAAATAATTAAGTAATTTTAACGTTTTCGAGCCAGGTTATTTAAAAATATTAACGATTTTAGTTATTATTAAGTTGTTGTTATTTAATAAATATTATTCTTCGAGATTTGAAAGCTTTTCATTACCGAGTATATATTAATATATTATTATTTATCATACATCAAGACATTTTCACAATATTTATTTAGTATAATATAATCTTACACTTTAAAAGTTAATCAATTTAAACAGAGATACAGATTTTTTCAATAAATAATAATACATGAAATAATAATAAATAATAAGTATGTTTATAGTTTTTATCAAAAATTAAGTTAACTTATTTTATTAGTACCTATCAAAAATAAATAATTATTTATTTATAGCAATATAAAAATTTATGTTATAATATTAACGTCTTTAGAAATATAAATTGACAGTGAATCTCTGTTTAGAATCATTTGGTGTCATATACTAGTACAATTGAATAATTTATCATTGAATTTAAAAGCTTAGCATATCAAATTCAATGATTTACTCAATGTTCGGTAAAAAGATACACTTGACACATTAAAACAATACAGCAGAGCAACTTACTTTTTTCTGTGTACCCATTATAGTTTTTTGGTCTTAAATGGCATTTCAGTTTTTTCATTCCCACAGATATCTTTTAAATATTCAAATGAAGTAGCTATTATTATATTTCAACTGTAGCTGTTTAAAAATAAAATCATAAGGTAAAGTTTGAACATTTCCAAGAATTATTTCTGGTTTGAATTATTGAAACAATTTATAGAATTTATAGAATATTTTTACCATTAATTTAGATATTCTATTCTAAATTCTTGCATTTTTGTTTGTTAAATATAAGTTATAATGTATTTGTAATTGTTTGTACGTCCCGGCCTGTTGATCTCAAAATATATGATTAAGTTTTTTTTTTTTTTTAATTAAAAATGAAGAGACAACATTGACTTAAGACATTTTACATTTAAATAGTGGTGAATAGTGGGGCAGTAGAAGAGATAAAAATTCTGATTTGACGTTTAAGAATTTTAGAACTAATGATCAATAATATAATAGGGTTGAAGAATCAGTTTTATTGGATAGTTGAAAACAAAGGAATCAGATTAAATAAACACCTATGTTTAATCAATGTAATATAAACATTGAATGCACAATATTTAAAATAAAACACATTATTATAATCAAACATAAATACTCACGTTTATTAGATAATTACATGATAATTAATGCTTCTTCAAGTCAATAGTTACACATCAACAAAGGATATGAAACATAAAATAAAAAAAAATAAAATATTTATATATTATATTACGTATTTTTTTTTTTAACAATACTATTATGTTATCAAATAAATAATAAAAAAATCAGGCTTTTCAAAGGAATAATAAATCACACATGATTTTTTTAATGTTAGTAGCTGAGAAAGATCACTTAATATCAATATAATTTTAAATTGTGAAGAATCTATTTCTAATTTAAAATATCAAATATAATATATCCACTAAAAAATGTTTTGACATATAGATATGATAAAACTTATTGAATATTGTACAATTTACTATAGTAATATTTATTCTTTAAAGTTAAAAACGTTTGATGACAAATAATAGCAGTTCTCATTTGTAAGATCTATACAGTCTACGTCATAATCTGATGTTTATCTGTCACACAATGACTAGTTTAACATTATATTGCCACAAAAATAATAAAAAAAATATAATATAATTAACGATTTTTGTAACCAAAAATAGTGTTCAGATTTAAACTGAACATTATTCTTTAAAATTAATCGTAATAAATCTATTTTTTCTTAATTTTATCGATTAAATAATTAAAATAGTAATTTAAAATATTTACAAAAAAATAATAAGAAATTGCTAAATATGTTATTCTATTTACAAGGAATTTTATGAAGCTAATTGAAACATAATAATGTATTTATAAGCTATTATCTAGTCTTTAACAATTTCAAACTACTTTATAACTTAGAATAACTGAAAATAAAAAAATTATTTATTAAACATAAAAAAAATAATTGATCACAATGAATAAATAAGGCAGTAGATATTATGAAGGAATGATACAATTTATATGTGTTATTGTTTCTTTGAGCGCAATGGCAAAAGTAAATGTGTTTTAATTTTAATATATATATAATTGTATTCAACAAAAAAATCTTATTTTAATGATAAAGAGAGCAATCAACTAGATTAATACATTTGGAATCAATGTTCAAAAGTCAGATATGAATTTTAAATATAACATTAAACAAAAATAGGGTCACAACTCTTCAGTTGTAGTCAGTTCTCAATTTGAAAGGTCATTATTATAATGGATTAAGTTTTGTATAATTGATGAGTTTATGACGACTGAGATTCAGGTGGAGCTCTGTAATTAAAAAAAAAATAATATAAATATAAACATAATATGGTAAAATTGAATAGTAAAACTTATTTCTAAATTACTTTTTAAGTCTTAGAATAATAATATAAGTGAGGCACAAATGGCTCTCGTCTATTTATAAAATAAAATACGTTTTTAATATAACTAAGGTAATTTATAATTTAATAAATCATATTTTCGATATATTATTCTATTTTTAATAGAAAGAACCAAATTTTGAAGCAAAAGCTAGCAGTTTTGACACACATTTTTATACTTTAATATTGGAAAATATATTTAAGGGTGTTTTATTTAATGTAAGACAATCATAATACATCAAATATTATTATAAGTGTCTTACGTTTTATCAATCATTTCATTTTAAATGTCATACACTATTGACTGTGTTCAAAATAAAATAATAGATTTTATCGTGCTTTGATATTAATTAAACAAATCTAATCTATATGTTTAATTAACAAAATAGTAGATTGATATTATAAAACTTTAAATTTTAACTCTTACAATTATACTATAGTTAAATAGTTGAAAAAAATGTTTTTCTTAATTGTGCATTTACAAAAGTTTTCAATTAATTTGTATTCAAAGCTTAATCAAAATTTGGATGTGCAAAGAGTAATTATATTAATATGTTGCTAGACAAATGTTGGTAATGTCTAGGCAATATTAAAATACAAGTTGTGAACATTTTTTTTTTTATCATCTCTTTTTGTATATTTTATGTCAGTAGTCATACAAAATTAAATGATGAAAAGTAAAATAAATTACTTACCCTGGTGGTCCAGAAGGGCCAGGATAGTAATATGGCGGAGGGCGTTCATACTCAGATGAGATCGGATTTTGATAATGAGGTGGTCCACCATTTGGGAAGTCCCAGGTAGGCCTTAAAATAATATAATTACAAAAATAATTAATACAACTTGTTATTGGAAAAGTATTATTAAAAAATGATATAATATATACAAATATTAGGTTGTTACATAGAGTAGCCAAACAGCTTTATGTAATTAACATATTGTAACTACAAGATTAAAATTTAATATTAGGTTTGAATACTAATGATATTGAAACACTTAATACAAATTATTAAATATATTAAACTATTTAATATTAAATGATTACATTATCTTATTGCACAATATAGTTGATTTATATTTCACACGATCAATACAGTTTTTAAGTCATATTTAGATTTACTAACAAATTTGAAAAATTTGAGATTTCTTGTCAGTTTTTTTGACAATACTTTTATTATAATATAAAAAGTGTAGTAAATTGTGATATTATTAATACTTTAAATCAATAATCTCAAAAAAATCATATACAGAAGCAAAAAAAAAAAAAAACCTAGAATGAACTTTCAATAAGTATTTCTAATATTTTATTACAATTAATTTTAAATTTTAACTCAAAAACCAGCCTATAAATTACCTTTATCTTTTCTATTACAAATTCACTTATAGCTACAAAGCTATTACATCTTTTAAGTCAATTTTTTATTAAATAGTTTTACACTTATAATTATCTCCATAAACAGCCCTCATAATTTCTCTCCTTAAATATCATTTTCAACTATACAATTTCACATATTTTAATATTGTTATGAGTTATGACATGTATTATGTAGTATTTGTATTAATTTTTGATCTATCAATTATTACTAAAATCTAAAAAAAAAATCTTTTAAAAATAAAATATTGAAAAAACTAACTAGACAACATTATCTTAAGCTCTTAAATTTATTAATTTGTAATAGGTCAATTTTCTCTCCAAAAACATTAATTATATAACTGTATCAATTGCTTTAAGTTAAATTTTTTTGTTGTGTTTGTAAAATATACAACAAATAAAAACATAATATCTTTGTGTTCATAATACGTTAAAGAAAAGTTATTCCAAAAAAATTAGTAAAACATTTTATTATATAACATACTTTGGTGCTTCAGGTATGCCACCTGAAGGGCTTGTAGTAGGTACTACTATATTTGCTCGTCCAAGATGTGCACTATAATCAACTGAACCACCATGTCCAGGATGGCGACTTTCATTAACTGATGTATTAACAGCAATTTCTGGGTTGGACATATTCTCATAGCCAATAGGAATACTTGATGATCTATTTCCACATGGAGCAGTTGTCACTTTTTTACGAGGTTTATTCCGTACATTTTTTTTCTTGTTGTTTGAACTAAATATACAATTATACATTTTTAAAAGTGAAATACATTAAGCAAATTTAAAAAATATAGTATATTACCTTGCTAATGGAATATTCTCACGGTCTGTATATGCATCATACAAGTATTCTCTATAAAACCAAAATAAACATAAATTAAAATTAAAATAAGTTTAAAGAAACAACACCAATACTTACGCTTCAACTAATGGACCTGGATAGGGATCAGATTTTTGGTAGAGAGAAGCCAATTTCACACAAAGAATTATAATGGGCATGAAAAGTATTGAACAAATACCAACACTCATCCAAAAACCATTCTGAAATAATTTGAATAAATAAATAAATATTATCATCAATATGTTAATCTAGTTTTAACAATTGTATACAGTGAAACCTCCCAATAATTAAATTATTTATCAATGACAATATTCATTCAAAGAAGATTAATGACAGGTAAATAAACTACAATATTAAAATAAATCAAACAAGTATTTTAGATATTATTTATTAACAAATTTAAAAAAATAATCATTTATATATAATTAATATTAATATTTTCTATACCTACTTAATAAAATCATTATCAATAATAGATTGATGATTATTTAACTGATTTACCAATACTGGGTTATGGTTAATAACATATTTAAAAATCTGGTAATAATCATATTATATATTTATGTAAATTATTGTAATGTGCAAAAAAATAGATATGTTTTTTTACATTTACATTTTTAGAATATTTTTAAGTTTAATAGAAGAGTATACAAAAAAATCTGCTACCTAGTGACTAATAATGTCTTTTTAAAATATGAATAATCCTTTCATAGACATAAATTCTGCTGAGGAATTTAATATTATGACATTATTAAATAATATAATTTAAGTCCATGGATTTTATTTTAGTTGTCCATAAATAAAAATTTCAATTGTACATATTTCTTTAATAGTTTCATACTCACATAAGGATTAAGTATTTTTTGGCATCCAGCAACAATTGAGGCGTTGTAAGCTTGTGACATAGGCCAGCATTTACCAACATCTTCTCTAATTTGGTTTACAATTCTTTGTAAATACTGATCTATGTGTTTGTTAAATTCTTCTCCAAATTCTTTTGCCAGCTGGAAAACATTGGAATATATTACTACTAATATCAGTATTTATAATATTATATTTGAGGATGTTTTATTAGAATAAAAACACAATATTATGAAATTCAAGTTAAAGTTCATAAATATTAGTTAAATTAAAATATTTTAACATAATAGTAATCAAGTTAATATAGTCAATATTACTTACTTTGGTCACTATTGTTGGCCCTTCATTGTATAAATATTTTTGAGCTTGTTCAACCTCAATTAGAAGATGTTCAACAGCATGGCGCAATGAAGAATGATTAAAACGTAAATGTTCTTGAAGCTGATTAGCAGTGGATTCTAACCGTTGACTTATATCTAACATCAATGCTACTTGTTGTCCCTGATGTACCTTTAAGTACATAGCTTGATTTGTTAATGAAAATTTAACCTAAAACAAAATGTAATAATTATTTAAGTTAATATTTTATTAAATTAAACCATTCAAACAAAATATATTTATACTTCTGATTTTGACATTGGTAATTGAGATGCTGTTTGATTTAATGCATCAGCAAGTTGGATCAAATCAATTGATGTTATTTTTTCACCAAGCTAAAATCAGACAAATGTTAAATTTTAGAATTGAGAATTTAAAAAAAAGCTCTTATAAAAACTTACAACATGAGTATATGCTGGAAAATTAATACTGGATAAAGGTGATTTAGATAATTTTATCAACTGTTTCTCTGCCTCAGGAGTTAAGATTACTATTTCTCCTTCTAATTTTATTTTTGATACTAATTGATCAATATGTTCATCAATACCAAAAGAATTGGGATATTCTAAAACTTTGTTAAGATCAATAAGTCTCTCCATTTTTAAAACTTGGAATAAACTCATGTTACGATGGCAATCTCTGTAAATGAATAAAATTATTATTAAAATGTAAAATATTATTGTACACAAATATAGGTTAATTAATACTTATTAATGTTATTTACCGAATAATAGAACTAATATTAAAATCAGTATTGACTGGAGTTGGTTTTAAATAAGGTTGTTGTTGATTATCTAATTTATGAATAGCAGATACATCATACAAACGATTTACTATGTTCAAAACCCTTGAAGGTGTAGGGTTTTGCAATGGTTCACATACAATACGATCTGTAGTGACACCAGTAACAAAATAAAACAAAGCGATGATCATCAAGAATGCTGATGATAAAAACATTAACCATACAGCCCTATAACACAATATTAGGACAATCAATACATTTATTGTTACATTTAAATACAACTAAGGAGGTATTTTAAGGTGACATACATCATCAAATATGAAGCACCTGTTCCTTTATTGCAACAATCATCATCACGATATCCACCTTCTGGTCGACTACCACAAAATCCACAGAATAATCCAAGAGTTAGACAAATCAAAATTAAAAACAGTGTAATTGCTACACCCAAACAAACATAATACCTACATAAAAAAAAAAAAAAATTAAATATAGGTATTTGTAATATTTTAGGTATAAATTAATTACCGATAAGGTGAAAATTCTTTTAATAGGCCTTCTCCTTGTTCTGTCGGGGAATATGAGTTAGCAATAGTAGAATCTACACGATCTAAAATTCTATCCACTTTAACACAATTTTCTTTGATAGCATTTCCTACTTTTCGAATATTTAGTTTTATTTCTGGTATATTATCATTAACTGCATTCTGTATTATAGTTTTCACTTTTTCAAATTGTTGCTGACCCTTCATTACCTCTTCTTCAATATCAGCAGTGATAAAATCAGATATATTCTTCAAGGTAGCTGTTACATTTGGCAACTAAAAAGAAATATTTTAATGAAGTATTAGTAATTAATATTATAGTATATTATTATAGTACAAAAAAAATGTTATAATGTAAAAAACAAGTAATTTATTTTTTCTAAATCATACAATAACAGACATATTAAAAATACCAAGAACTTTATAACCTACCTTTGGGAGATCATTGTCTAATATCTATCCACGGTAAGCAAACAAAATTTTTGATTTGAAAATTTAGTGGTTAAAAATTACAATAACAATAATTTTTACACATTGAAATATTTGGTTACCTGACTAAAATTTGCTTCTAAAGAAAGATCTTGGATATTGAATCGATTTAAAATATCACGACAAGTACGTTCAAATCGACAAGACTCCAATTTCTTCATTATTATTGATCGGCATTCCTTTAAAGCTAAAAAAAAAAAAATAATTAAATAATCATTCATAATAGGCCTTTTTTCAATTGATAATAATTAAAATAGTAAAGAATCATACCAGCATCTAATTGCAGAGCTGTTTCTTGTAATTGACGAGTCAATGAATCTACGTTAGAAAGATCTTGTTTGATGAGCCCCAGTCCATTTACAACAGCAGTTAAATTAGACAAAACTGATGCTTTAGAAACTTCGCCAAGTTTTTTTTTAACAATTTCACCACTAGCTGTAATATATGTTTATTATTTTCATAGTCAAAATTTAATAAATGTTTAATAATATAAAAAAAAACCATTTTTTTTTTTTTTTACCTTCTAATATATTTGATAATGTTTCTTCCAACTCATCAAAGTTTACAACTAATAGATTATCAACTTCCTAAAATTTTAGATTATTTATAATATATTACATAATATGTATAATACATAAATAGTTACTACATATTAGTTAAACTAATTTTTAATAAGAATAAAAATATATTTCTTACTTTTTTTGTATTATTTATAAACAGTCTGGTATCATTTAAAGATTTCTTAACATTTAATGGTAACTCTTTAACACCGTCTTCCAAATATTCATTACTCACAAATGTACAAACAACGCCAAATCTAAAACAAAATTAGTTTATTAATGACTAGTAAAAATTTTTTACAACATAATTTAAATTATAAAAGTAATCCTATAATTATTTAGAAAGTATATGATATCATTGATATTATAAAAAATATAAACTATGATAATTTATTGAATTTGATTCATGGTAATTAAAATTGAAAAAAAAATTGAAAAAAAAAAAAATTAAAGTGGATTGGATTTCAAGTATACACAAGTAGGTCACTGTAATGGATGTATGTATTAAAATGTAAATTCATTGATAAATCATTATACATGATGAAAAACTATTAAGAATAGGACGGTTAGCCTATATAATAATAATTTTTAATTAGAAGAATAAATTCCAATTATAAATATTCTGTAAAGTATACTGATTGTAGAGTAATGCAAATGTACATGTTATTTTTTAATGATACAAAATAAAATATAGGTAATATAATATAATATTAAGTAACATATTTCTAAGAATATTAAATTGTATATTTATATTTATTTTCCTACTAGTAATAAGGTAGGTTGAAAATTTTTTTTACCTAAAACAAATCATATTTTTTATCTGTATACATTTTATTGATCAGACTTTTAGGTTTCTTTAAAAACAATAAACAAGGAATCTTGAATTACATTTTCAAGCCTTAGCTATTAAAATTTAAAATTTTATTAACATTTTAACCAGTGACAAATTGTAACTTTAAATGTTCATACAAAAAATATGATAAATTTTTTTAAACTATCATAAAAACAACTTATTTCATATTTGAGATATTGTATTAAACATTTAAGCTTTTTGGTTAGGCATAATTTTTCATTGTAAACATTATATATATATTATATATAAAAAAAAAAATTAATAGATTCTATAATGTCAAGTGTCTATATTCTATTAATAACTTAAAGTTTGTTTAATTATTTTAAAAATTTCATTGTGTATAAAAAAAGATAATTTAAATAATAGTGATATATTTTAAACACGGTATATTATACTGTGGTTTTAAAGTATTAAGAGTAACAGTTTTTGAATTAAAACAAAATAAATTAAGACTATGCATTTTTGATGTTTTTTTTTTTTTTTTTTTTATGAAGAACCCTGTGTTTTTGTATAAATCAAAAAAAAGCTAAAAAAGTAGACAATTCCAAACATCTAATAAATAGCTCGACAAAAAAATCAAAATATTTTGAAAGCTGTATCATTTCTAGTAAATATTTATAAATTAACATTTGGTAAAAATTCAAGTTATTTATATTTAACCAATTTTGATTTTGCTAAAAACTTGTTTATTATAAAATTCCTATGAATTTTATCATTCGACCATAAAGTAACAACTGGATCTATTTATTACCAGAAATCATCCTTGAAGTTGAAAATGAAAACATCATTAAAACATACATAGTTATAAAATCAATTAAAATTATCGTTTCGCTCAAAATCTAAAAGAAGATGTTAATGTTTGTTTATAGACTCTGATTAAATACTAATAATAACATTAAGATATATAATACTTCTCATCACCAACCCAGGATGATTTATAATAAATACATAGTATAAGTTATAGGTATTAAGTATGCAGAACTCACGATATTAGTATAGTAAGTCCAGCTAGTATTATGCCATAAAACTGTCTCTTGCAAGAATCGTATTTGGCGTCAAAAGGTTGAGACCGAGAGCCACAACCTCCAGTACAACGACAACAGCATAACGTCAGTCCAATAAGTGGCATTAAAACAGCAAACACTAATCCAGCAACTAACACGGTAGCACTTGCCCAATAATGACTTACCAATATCGGCCATTCATGAGACAAATAATCTATTTGAATTGTATTATCACCTTCCACATCAATGAATCCTGAAAATAAACAACGTAATATTACTAAAATTATATATACCTATATATTTGATATGTTTAACAAAACGTAAGTTTTAAATATCGACAACCGAAATATTAAACACTGAAAAAGATAATTGTTAAAACAGTAAAACTGTTTGATACTGGCTCTAATAAGTAGGTAATAACATTTTGTTGTTCATGTCTTAATGTGCGTATTTTCGCATTTAATCGTCTATACTAAGATATTTTAAAAATCCACAAAATGTGACTTGTAGATTCCTCGTTTCAAGGAAATACATTTTACAAATGTAATTATTGAATTAAAAAATTATTTTTTTTTTTATAGTAAAGAATTTGATTTAAAAAATATTATGACTGCCCCAGGTTCGACGACACAGACTAATAACTTGGGACAGACACAAAAACTAATAGTATGAACGATATATGGTATACAAATGGTATAATACTTTATGTTGACAAAGTCTTATACAACTAATTGAAATACCGATTTTTAAAATTCTGTAAAATTATCCAACTATATTTGTTGTTCTGTAATTTTTTATTAGAATTAATTAAATAACATTGATAGCATTGCGCATCTGGTAATACACATTCCATACTGTTAAAAAGTTATCCAAAATACCTAGTTCAATGAACTCGAGAGACATATTTATATTATAGGCCATCAAATAATTTAATTGTCATTAAAATAATTTGACATAGCAACTCAAATGTAACAACTAAGAATAGATCGATTTGTAATCGTTAAAACAACAAAGCCGTATACGACGAGTATAACATATGTGCATTTGTTTATTTTAATAAACCTTGAAACATGGAAATGTCAGTACCTACTGTTCAATACTATTTGATTGATTTAAATAAGTCCTGTACAAATGTTTATTTTAAGAAGTAGAATTTAGACAAAAAGTTTTGATAAATTGATAAGTATTCCAATATTCTGTAATGCAATTTTGTTGGTATAATCGTTGATTAAAAATATAGTACTTATGGTATTATATTATTCCTTTATAGTATTTTTAAACAATGGTAAAGTTAATATTAAATAATAAATGTATCAATGTTTTCCAAAGTAAGCGATAGAACTAATTTTTTCAATCTGAATTTGCTTTCAGCAATCGCATTATCTTAATGTTGTACAACTTATAGCACTTAGTTATATTATATTTTTAGAATAATTATTATTACAAATTACTATCAACGCATTATCATATCGAAATTAGGTTTCGAATAGAAATCACGCGCATTCATGTCATCAGGATTATATAAATTGTATTTATGGTTTTTGTACTAAAATTATACATATTATAAATTAATTAATTTGTCATTGCACACTTAAAATCTGTATACTTTTTTGGAAAAATGTTTAGGAACCACTATAACAAAAATAAGGTCACAGACTCAAGTATCAGGATGGCAGTGTGTGGTTTTTAAACGTTGAAAGGGGTGTTGAGTAAAAAGTTTGGGAAACACATATGTAGATCATGATATTCATAAAGTACAAAATTATACAAGATAATTCACAATGCATGTTCACCCACATTTTTCATTTAATGATAAATTATTTTAATATATGTCAACATTTCTAGAATAATTATTCGCTTAATAATTAACAGTAGTTAAGGGTGGTTGTCATTTGAAAAATTTAAGCTAGTATCTTCAAGAAATGGTCCTTATGTTGTACAAAAAAATCTTGAAAAAATGTCTTTAAGCGTAAAAGAACATTCCAAAAATCAGATTTTAAATGATTGCATTATTGAGAAAAAAAGAGGATGAGCATATTTGAAAAATCATTCTGTAAATGGTATATATATAATTTTTGAATAGACTAGCACCTACTACTATAAAGGTGTAATACAAATACGATTAATGCGCAAATTTCATACAACAGAGCAAAATATAAAATGATGTAACCTTGTAACGAACGAACACAATTCATTAATTTATTTTACTCTCGTTTTGTCACACCGCATACACACAACACACACGACAGACTTACGAAAAATCCAGGATGGCAGGATGTATGCTCCGACGCATAAACCTATCGATTTTCAATATAGGTATTTGATTGCTATAGGTGTTATTTTTTTGTTGTTATTTATTTCATTAATTATTTATAATTCATTCACGACTACACTAAATAACGTCATTGAACAATAATTATTTACGCCATCAACTATTGCTAAGTACAAAAATAACAAAATGTTAGACATGAATTAAAATTATACTAATTAACACGGATCTATTATTATTATTATATAGTTAGTAATAATTGTAATAGTATCTTTCGAACCTACCTATAATTATAGATCATGTTATCCTATTGGCTAATTAGTTACAATATTCGTACATAAACTTTAACATAGCACAGAAACTAATTCGAAATTTGATTTGGATATAAACTAATATCTACCTGCCTATAATAATTTACAGTTAAAATATGTAGGAATAGTTCATTTGAACAAAAACATTAGTACCACTATACTTCTTCTTAAATTTATTTTAAAATATTGCCTTATACTATCTAACTAAGTGTACTCCGACAAGTCCGACCCTCAAAGAGTTTATTAATTATTTATCTAACGATTTGCATATCAAATGAGAATTTTCATTACTATCTGTACAAGAGACGAATTGCATAGTATGGGCATCACAATATTCAACATTGTATATATTAAATTATAAGGTATTTAAATTAATGGCCTAACTGAGATTTGTTTTCTAATGAGATTATATCGAGTACGAACAATATTATCAGGTTAATTATATCGTTTTTTATAGTTAAAATTTTCAAACATTCAAAAAGAATACATCTACTATGTGAGAATATTTTTGATACTACACTTGTATATATATTGTAAACCTAGAGCATAAAATATATTAATCAGTTGGACGCACCTGATCAATAACTTGTATTTAGAAAGTAAATTTGTAATTTCGATAGACTTGACCTATTATGAAATGTTTAGTAAAAGTAACATCTAATAAATTTTATCGATATTTTTAATTTTAAAATGAGTTTAAAGTTCGTTATATATCATTTATTTATTTATAAACGAACTTGAAGCCTAATAAAACAATACAATTTATAGTAATAAATAAATTTGAACAATATAACATAAATCAATAGAGTAAGTAAACAATAAAATGAATCAATAATAAACAAATGGTAATAAAAAAAAAATTGTAGTAATATTATTGTGAATATATATTTTTAAGAATCACCGACAAAATATCGCCAGTAAAATATCGTGACCAAAATATCGCAACTGAAATATAGCGAAATCAATACATCGCATGGAATAAATATCGCCAATATGAAATATGGCGTTAATTTAATTAGAAATAAATAATATTTACATAAATATATTATAGCAGAATTGATAAAAACATGTATAATTTAATAAAATTGATATAAGTATTGAAAAAAAAATTGAAAAAAATATATAATAAAATATGTATATTAATTAATGGAAGTATATATTATATGAATATATATTATACCTTGAAGATGATCTTCAAACTCTCGATCATGATAATCTACAACTACTTTTTTTACTTGTTCAGCCTAACTGATTGTTTTGTTCTTTTTAATTATTGATGTATTTGGATTTAACAGATGCAATAATAACTTACGGCGGTATTATTACTTTACAATATACTAGTTTCGCGACATTTTGTGGGGGTACCTTTTTTCAAACACACCTAATTCAGTTTAAAATTAAAATATAAGAACTAAAAAAACACAGATAATATTGTTATCTATAAATTTGACAGTAGGGAAATTCACTTTATTGTTAAAACTAACGGAGCTAAACGTGAACTGCTAAATGACAATTTGCAATGTTATACAAGATTATATGTTAGAAACAACAATAATTAATGTTGCTATGGCATGCTTATATTTTTTTATAATTCGTTATCAATTATATAAGCTAATCATAAATCATAATTTATAACCAGTAGATTGATAAACTTAACATTTTTCAGAGACATGTCTTATATTCCATTTATTATCCATCCCAAAATTTATTTACTGTTTTTTATATTTTTAAATAGAAGTAGAGTATAGATGTATAGCAATAAATACTAAAACATTTTGGTTAATATCAAATTATTACTTATTAATCATTTCTTATAATCAACCCATCAACCAACCCATATAAAAGAATCATAGTGGCTACTATTTTGATTTTACCCTCTACGCCACACAAACAATTGTGGTCATTGCAAAAAAATAATAATAACATACACGATTAATCTATATTCAAATATAATTTAACTGTACAATATATAACTGTAAAATCGCCATTTTACAGAGATACTACAACATTGTATTGTATGTTTTAAAAATTGATAATTTGAATTAAAAATAACATGTCGGAATATGTGGGAGTAATTGAAACACTTAAAACCCTCCAATCATCCCCTGAATACATTACTGACGTTGATTGTCCCACGCGTATCACATTATACTAAGATCGGATCGATTAAGCATTTTGTTCTTGTATAGGGCGCATCACTACCGCAAACGGATCATTTGTGAAAGTTGATACAAAACGTATATAGATACGCAGAAAATCGATTTGCTTGGGAAACGCTGTGCATTTGTTATTACGATTAATCATCTGAATCAATATACATAGTTTTTCATCACACGTCTATATCATATTATCATACATTACATATATGTATATTCATGCTCTCTATCTTCATGTATTATGATGATATTATATCATAGACATATGAGTTAAACGAACTGTCCAACCTGACTTCCTATGCTGTACAATAATACCTGTGATTCGGTGTCGATGCGTTTGTGAGAAATTGTGCACAAAAAAAAAAAAAAACAACAACGACATACAATTAACTGAATTATCCATTCGAAAATTACGTTATTTTTTCATGCAAATAACAGTCACGGATAAATTTGCAACGCACGTATAAACGGCATAATGAAAAAAAAAATTATTACCACCGCTCTAGCAAGTGAGAAA